ATATTACCGCAACGACTAGCATCAAAGAGCTGAGCATTACATACGTTTGTACATGTCGTATAAATGTTGTACTGTCATTGGTTTTATTACCATTTGCAAAAAAAAACCCAGTCAATTAGGAGCTGAACAATGCACTCCCCACACATTTGATGGTCCTGATTGAGGGTCGCGTTTTCAGGCAAGAATCAATTCTCACTGCAGTGAATGGCAGCGTCTCTAGTGATGCAACGTACTGCACATGGATGGAAATATATCCATGAAGTCTTATGCTTGAAAATCATTACATGTGTTACGAGCGTTAATTAACATCCCTGCAGCCTACGTATGATTAAAACTGAAGGTGGCATGGAAAGATGTTAGGTTTGCAATAACAACACAAGTCTAATGAAGGGAAATAAATTTGCACTTGCGAAATGAACTTTGCCCACACGTTGATTCATCTCCAGCAAGGTTGTAAGAAATAGGTGCGGCAACGGCTAGGTTGTCATCGCAAGCGGAGTGTCTCATATCCTGAAAGTGTGTGGCGTCCCAACCGAAAAGCATTCTGTTGGTGCATAGCATGAGATTGAGCGAAGCAAGGGTATGTATCGATCGTTTGGTCTGATGCGTGGCCCGACAACAATTCATTGCGCTCGTTCTTGAAACAATCTCTCCACCTTTGAAAGGCGGCACGTGCGACAAACGCGACGAGCCAATCGCCCTTTTCACCGTCCAAACACCTCTGCGCATTCTCCGGCCCAGACTTCCCTGGAATGGGTGGCAATGCAGGCGGACGGAGACGGCGGAAAGGGGGGGGGGGGATGGGGTGAAATAATTCCGTTACATTCAACACCTTTAATGAGGCAGTGTTGCAAGCAAGTAAGCCAGCAGGCTAGGCAGGCAGGCGAAGGGAGCGCAAACGCGGTTTCGAACACAAACGCTGTTCTGAGCGATAAACAGCGCGCCGCGTTTCTTATCCTGCCGGTGCGCAGTCGTCTGTGGCGGTGCGAGTCCGGATTAGAGGTAGGGGACGCGCAGGTTTTGAGCGTTCGCCGTTCGAGACGGAGCCGTGGGTGCTGGGCTATCTCCATCTACCACAGTGGACGCCACTCCAATTGTTAGTGCCTTAACGCATTGGTTCTGGCTGTGCACGGCATTATGGGGCAAGGGAGAATACACAACACACGTACACAGGTTGTTGTGTGTCACGGTGTAACGCGTGCCTTGATGTTTCAGTCTGGGGGGGGGGGGTAACACTACGTTGTGGTTTGCTGTCACCGTTACTGCACATATGACTTGTGTTCGCAGCTGCCTAACTTGTCCAGTGTCTCGTCAGCCATCAAAACCGTGAATGCCAAAATGAAGAGAACGACTCTTACAAGGCCACACACTGGCCACGACAAACAGGGTAGCTGCACCACAGCAAGAAACTGTAAACTTCGTGACCATCTCCTCTTTCTTGAAGCAAGCATTTGTAATAAATGTATTCCTACACGTGCAGGGTTACTCGCTTTTATTATTTACTGATGTTATCACCCTCTGTTTATTTGATTCAAGGCAGCGTAATCTTCCCTCGAACCAAATTATGTACGTGAAGAATGTATTACCTTGTTGGACAAGGATTCGGACTAGCTTGCTTGGCAATAACCCATCACAGAATAAATGTTTAAACAGTGCTATAGTGAAACAGATTTACACGTGTATCGTATGCACCCAATCTAACCTTTCCCCATGAAGTTCATTTTGACATCTTACCCACATATAACAGTGTACGTATCGGTACTTTGCGTTGACCGTGGTTGTATGAAAAGCTAAATCCTTAAAGCTGGCGAAGGCAATCACAGCTAATCATCCTCCAATTAGCAGCACACATTCAGCAACATCCACGGACGTGAAAAATCACGTTCGCTTGGTGCAGTCAGCTCGGTTATGAAGGCGTTTACAATTTTACGAGGGAGGGTATGCGTACCCATAACCGTAAAGTGTTTTATACAAAATTAAACCATTTTATTAAGTGTGTGTTTACTCTTCATTTGCCCAGCGCGAGGAGGCTATGTGGGCCGGTAAGAGGTGTACGGTGGCTTTGAATTCATGGGGGCAATCCAAAAACGTTGGGCACGGACCGCGAAATTTGTTGCAGTTCTGAAAGTAATCCTCCCAATTACGCGAAAAGACACACATTCGGACGTGTTGCAGCCAGCGTAATTGAGAAGGAATGCCTTTTCAAATTGCATGTCTTCCTGCTCGTGGAATAAATTGAGAGTTTTAATTCTCCCAAAGTCATGTTTAATCAAGAGAGAGGAAACGAACGACGTATAAAAAAAATGCACGGTCGTTAACTAAAATTAACGGTGTGGGTTTATATTTTATTTTACTTTAGTCAGGAAAGCTCATCTCTGTACGTCATCCCAAGTCTTGAGATTTACAGCCACTGCCAGGCGGTAACAATGCACGCCACTGTAGCAGCGTCTCGCTCAATCGGTGCGGCGGTTTAAGTCTTGCGGGGAAGATGAAATTCTCTCCGAAAATAGCGGCCAGGCATTGACCGCTAAAAAGTATGCGGACTATCTGGGATTCATCTCAGCAACAATTGCATAGAAAGAAACCGGAGATACCGCATTGAAAGACATTGCCTGCTGCCTTCTGTCTGTTTGTAACCGCAGTGAACAGGAGAGAGACAGAGAGCCAACGTGTCGTGCGTGGTAAGCTCTAACATTCATCCCGCCCTGTAACACACATACATGAAGGCGCATGTCTTGTACTCTTGAAGGACATTTGAGAAACAGGAGCTGCCGAAAAAAAACCGTCCGCTGTTTACGTTCCGTGACTGTGAACAATACGAAAGCTATTTGTACGATACATACAGTACCATAAAGGGAGGGAATAAAAAAAGCCCCCCCACTCTATTCCCTTGGCAATGCAAGTCTTGCGTTTATTTTCGGTGGTACAGTTGTTTACTACTGAGTGAATGAATGAATAGCTTCATAAGCCATGCGGGAGCCAACAGCGATGCATTTTTACTCTATTTTTGTTCTCTACACTGCACCTTTGTGACAAGTTGAGCTTATTTTCTCTCACCGAACATGGCAATTTTCACGTGAATGCGGATGCTAATACGGTAACTGAACGCGCGTGGTGTTTAATTGCATCACTCCTGAATATGAAACACGCGGATAGTGACGCCCGTTCCAGGAGACTTGAAAGCTACTCTGTTTAAAAAAAAATACTATAGAATAAAAATTGAAGGTGTGTGCATTCATACTTTGCCTGTGACCAAATCAACCAGCATGTGCCTGGTCTTGTCAGACCTCGGCGGCTAAGCAAGTTTGAGCCTCAATAGTACTCGGATGGGTGTAACTTTCTGACCCGCCCCTACGGGACACATCTGTGAAAAAGTGCTTTATAGGTCATCGGATTCCTCCAGCAGAAATAACGATTCCGATTCAAATGTGCTCCCATGTGGTGCGCGGGGCGATTCGTGGTGGACAGCTGAGGGCCGTGTAGCAAAATCAAGTATTGTGCTGTACTATGCACCAACGTCCATGCTCCCCTTCTACAACAAGAGGAGCACAGACGAGTAGATGCGGCAGCGTGGTGAAGTATGGTCACATAACCGATAACGAGTCGCGAGGCGTGGGAATACCGTCAATTCAGCATCCACGCATCGATTCCTCTAACCATGTTGAGGACTCGGGGTCATCCCCCACAGCGTGTAGCCACCACGATGTGTTCACCAATCACCACGCCGTGTTCACCACCACGCTGTGTTCAACAACCACACTGAGAGGCCTTACATCGTGCTGTTTGTTGCTGGTCGCTTGGCGTTTTGGGATTTTAGCAAAGCACCGCAAGTTTTGTTTGAAGCTGCATTGAACATCGGGCTGTACATGTGGTTCTACACAAGATACACGCAGCAGTACGGGACAGTGTTTGCCCAGAACGGTTCAGGGGTGGGTCGCATGAAACGCATTAAAGTTGTCTTCACTTGGTTTGCAATGTAAAGGGGAGATACACGCAGTGATTGGGAATTGTATGCAACTGGCCACGCGAGACTTTAGGATGAATCACCGTGGCACTCTTCTGCAATGGGCATAATACAAGGATGGAAACTGGTGTAGCAGAGCCAATTTGCTCCATTACAAGCAGCCGCGACACACACTCCACAAACACACGGTGTATAACATACACTCCACAAACACATGTATAACATACACTACAGAACACATGATGTATGACATACACTGCACAAACACATGATGTATAACACACACTCCATATACACATGATGTATAACATACACTCCACAAACACATGATGTATAACACACACTCCACACACACATGATGTATAACATACACTTCACAAACACGGGTGAACACACAACATGCGAGCCTCACAATCTGACAGCCGCGACAAAGCTTTACCAATTCCCAAAACACCAATCAATGAATCAAGCACGCATTGTTTCAGCCATGAGAGAGTGCAAGTCCCATACATCAGCGGATGCAAGTGCTCATGATTGCAATCATACGCGTGTCGTTCAATACGAGGTCGTGAGTGCGTTTCGGAGTACACGTGTGTTGTACACGCATTGTATTGAAACGCGTGATAGGATGTTGACAGTAACCGGATTTAAGGTTTACGACGCATATCCCCTCCAACACATGCAATATGTTTCACCACGCGTGTACGCGTGTGTGCCATTTGTATCAATGCAGTTATACAGATGTGTGCATGCATGCCCACTCGTATACGCATTCCGTTCTACGTGTGTTGGTGTATAGGAAATAGAGGCATGCACGTTGTGTTTGCGCGTTTACGGTCTACTACCTATGTGTGTGTTTGTGTTTGTACGGACTTAGATAGGCGTAGTGCGCGCATTGTCGGGAGTGTGTTTGTTTTGATCTGTTTGTGTGCGGTTGAGTTTGTACATCGGCGGTCGAGACTGCCGGAGGGAGAATCGTGGATGATGCATTGTGAAGAGCGGTGCAGGGTGAGGTTGCCACGTGACATATACGTACATAGTGCTTGCTGGGTGATCTCCTCTTTTCCACATCTTCAACTTTCACATCTTCTAACGTCCTCCGTGGCATCATCTTGCCAACAGTCGCGTGCTGTGATTGAGCTTTTTTTTATGCACTCACCCCCCCGATCAAATATTTCGGGTCAAAATAACAAATAAATAAACGTGTACCTCCCCCCCACCCCCCCAAAAAAAAAGTTTAATTAACGCGGCATAAATGCAAGGTATACTACTGACCAGCCAAATGTTGCCGTAACCTATTCGGTGCTATTCCTGGCTATGTTTACCTATCAGGTTGCGCTGGTGTGCTCACATCGCAAGACGTGCGAGTGTGTGCGTTCTCCAACATGTGCACGCGTGCGTCCTGTCAGCGCAAGTGCACGTGGAGTGCACGCACGCATCAGGGGCTGCTGCTGCTGTGCACGTGTACACGTGCGTACGTGCGTATGTCTACTCCTCTGTGACGTTAACCTAATCGGCTACGCTTGGACACCCACGTTAAGTAGACGCCGTGGCATCTGTCCATCATAGGTGCGCGATGAATAGACTCGCACAGTGTGAGCGTGTGGTGTAACAACTGTGTATGATCGATTGTGTATGCGGCGTGTCCGTGTGTGTGTGACCTGTGTGTACGTGCGTGTCCCCACTGGGCCTGTGTGTAGTAGTAAGCAGTGTCTCCAGTCCCTAATGGAGATGGCTGAAGGTAATCTCTCTTGGGGAGCGGCGGAAGAGAAAGACAGGAGGAGGGGGAGGGAGAGGAAGACGAGGAGGAAGACACCGGGGCGAACTCGACGAGAAGAAATAAACAAAACAAAAATAGTGAAATAAAATCAACTGCAGGGCTATCCCGCAACAGAGCAACACAGAGAGCTGAGGCAGATCGAAAGGATAGAGACTGTGGCTGTACACGAGATCTGTCTAGATAGCAGAGCTAGCTCGCAGCACGAAGCCTACAGCTAGCGAAGAGACGCAGCGACTCTGCCGTGTGCGTGGTTGTAGACATTACCAAAGAGCAGCTTACTACGGCGATGATGGTGGTGGTCAAGATGATGATAACGCCAGAGGAGGAGGGGTGGGGGTAAGGGGAGAACGCTGGGTGGAGAAGAAGAGAGGGCGAGCAGAGGCGAGAGAAGCGTGAGGATGCTGATGATGTGAAGCAGGAGGAGCAGCAGGAGGAGGAGGTGGAGGAGGAGGGGTGGGAGCGCGCTGGGTCGGGAAGAAGAGCGGGCGAGCAGGAAGATGCGAGAGTGGGAGAGACCGAGAGAGCAAAGCCCCTGGATGGTGGAGAAGCGCTGGGTTAGGGAGAAGCCTTGAGCGGCCGGCCACAGGAGGAAGGAGGTGATGAGGATGAGGAGAGAGGAGGAGGAGAGAGGAGGAGGAGGAGAGAGAGAGGGGAGGGGGGGCGCATAGGAGCGCGGACGCGACCCGAGCGCTCCGCCCTGCGCACTCTCGGCGCACGCGCACTGCCCCGTCTCTCCGGAAACATCAACCACAGCTGATGGCGAGAGTGTGTGCGTGTGTGTGGTTGTGTGTGTGGTTGTGAGTGTGTGTGGTTGTGTGTGCGTGTGGTTGTGTGTGTGTGTGGTTGTGTGTGTGTGGTTGTGTGTGGTTGTGTGTGTGCGTGTGGTGTGTGCGTGTGGTTGTGTGTGGTTGTGGTTGTGTGCGGTTGTGTGTGTGTGTGGTTGTGTGTGGATGTGTGTGTACGTGTGGTTGTGTGTGGTTGTGTGTGTGCGTGTGGTTGTGTGTGTGCGTGGTTGTGTGTGTGGTTGTGTGTGGTTGTGTGTGTGCGTGTGGTGTGTGTGGTTGCGTGGTTGTGTGTGCGTGTGGTTGTGTGTGTGCGTGTGGTTGTGTGTGTGTGTGGTTGTGTGTGTGGTTGTGTGTGGTTGTGTGTGTGTGTGGTTGTGTGTGTGTGTGGTTGTGTGTGTGGTTGTGTGTGGTTGTGTGTGTGTGTGTGGTTGTGTGTGTGTGTGGTTGTGTGTGTGTGTGGTTGTGTGTCTGTGTGGTTGTGTGTGTGTTTGTGTGGTTGTGTGTGCGTGGTTGTGTGTGTGTTGTTGTGTGTGTGTGTGGTTGTGTGTCTGTGTGGTTGTGTGTGTGTGTCTGTGTAGTTCGACTCCCGCTCACGACCAACACCCAGTGACGATTATCTGAACCGGTCCTGGGCCTCCCCGAGTTCGGCTCAGCCTCAAATGAGTACCCGGTGCCTGCGCGTACCATCTCCACTGGGGAGACAAAGGCGGCCTTGCGCGGTGCTGGCCACCCACCCCCTCCCTCGTGTGCCCTGCCTGCCTTCAATAGGTGCTCGCTGACAGCACTCGCCCCGACACCAAACCTGTCAACCCCTTAGTGCCCATCTTAGTACAGATCAATTCAGACCGTATTGGTCACCCCGTGCCGTTATAAATCTCAACGTTCATCCTGCAAAGTCCCATCACAAGGGAGAAACGCAAACAAATAGACACAAACTAAATGTTGCCCGTAGTGAAACGGCTGTACGTCGTATGGACCTGAAAACTCAATTTCCCTCTGTACAAGAATACGGGGTAATCCGTGTGGGTTGACAGCCATGCGACAGTTTTGTTAAAGGCGACACAGGGGGGGGGCTTTGTCTTGATGTGTAACGTGTGTGTGTGTGATGGGGGTTGGGGTGGTGTGATCTGAGTGTGTACGTGTGTAATGCGAGGGTGTGCGAGATGTAATCTGAGTGTGCGATTGTGCCAGTGTGTGCGTGTTTTGTGAGTCGTGTGATGTGTGTGTGTGTGAGATATGAAACCGTTGATCGTGTCAGTTGTGTAAGTGCGGCCGACGTGAGTGAGTGCGGGTGACAGGAGGAGTGACACGTGCATCGGGTGTGATACGATGTGTGCGAGTGTGTGGGCGTATAAGCGGCGTGAGTGGCGTGCGGCAGTGATGATAGTTGTGGGTGAGTGAGTGTGGCTGATTGTCACAGTGAGTGGCAGAGCAATTTGGGGTTTGTGTGATATGTGTGAGCGTGTGAGCTCTATGATTGTGAATGTAAGTGACTCGTGAGGTGTGAGACGGTGATCATGTGGGTGATGTAAAGAATGTTGAATTTGATATGTAGTGCACTGCACTGGGTGGTGTACTGCAAATTAACATCGAAAATACGCTTAGTTTCATCGTTTTCATTGTTATTATCTCGTGTGGCGCTGTCATTTCTTGAGAACTGATGTTTGCGTTTAGTTTGTTGTCCTTCTGCGGCACCTCCGATGTAACTTGCTGACCCGCCCCAACATCTGTCAAAAAGTTCATAGCTCATCGGATTCCTCCAGCATAAATAGAGATTCTGATGTGCATGCGTGTTAAATGTTTAAGCTTGGATAATATGTTTACGTTAAGTAGAGCACGTAGTATAGACTATATATATATACCTCAATTGTCTCATGTATGCGTGCTGGTAATGAGAGAGACGCTTGATGGATTCTTCGGAGGAATTCAGATCCGAGGGTGATGAGTCAAAAATCTTCGGTATGCCGATGACATCATTTTGCTTGTCGGTTCCGAGGTGGAACTGCAGCAGTTGACAGATCGCTTAGATCGTGTCAGTTGCGAGTTTAACCTCCTCGTCAATGTGGACAAGCCCAAAGTGATGGGCAGTTGATGGGGGCAGCGATGGAGCATCCAGCTGCAGCAAGTGGACACCTTTCCGTATCTTGGATCGGTTATCGCTGGGGATGCGAAGTGTTCAAAAGGAATTCGAGCGAAAACTGAGTTAAAAGGGCCAGGCGATTGGGGTCATCCCTGAAGACAATTTGGAAGAGTCACAGCATCTTCGTTCCAAACGAAGATGACACTTCTGCCAGCCCTTGCGTGGCCAGTTGCTTACGTACGCTTGTGAAAGTTGGACAATCAAGGAGAACGACGAGGCACTCCGTGTATCGTGGACTGAAAAGAAAACAAATGAATGGGTTGTGGAGAAAGCGAGCCTACTATGGTCATGTCATGAGAAACAACAATTGTTTGGGTGAAAATACAGATGATGCAAGGCACAATACCCGGTTCACGTGCGCCAGGAAGACACGGAAAGATCACGTCAAAGCATAGCCGAGGCTCACGCTGGAACAGACAGCGAGGATAGCAGAAGACAGAAGTCAGTGGCGAAATATTGCCCATGGTGCGGCCAAACCTCGGATCGAGGATGGCTGAAGGGAAGAGGCAAAAATGCGTGCTGCACAGAACTGCACAGCAATGCTATTTGAATGAATAGTACAGTACTGCAACAACCGCCATTCGCCACTAAGTGGTGGTGACGTCACCACGACGCTTGTGCCAGGCCATGTGCACCTTGAGGCCACGTGAAGTGTTGAACCCCCGCTGGCAGGAGGTCACGGGACAGACCCAGCAGGTGCCACGGGTCAACTGACTGAGACGACTGGCTGATGCACCACCTGTGCCCCCTACTGTGCCAACTTGCTGTGCTTTAGCCACCCGACGCTCCGCTCGTTGTTGTGAGCGTCGCTCCTCCGCCCTCCGTTGTTGTTGGAGGGCGACTGCCTCCAACTGCCCAGTAGCGTCTTTCACGAGCCTCCTCCACAGAGGCCGATCTTGACACCGCTGGTACCAGTCATCGGCAAGTCCACTCAGTTCCACATCCTCCTGTACCACATCACTCCATCTCTTCTCTAGCCCGTGCCGCGCCCGTTTAGCCCCCTCGATCTGGCCGAACAAAAGCTGTTTAGGCATGCGGTGGCTGGGCATGCATGCTACATGACCGAGCCAACGCAGCCTTGCCTGCCGGAAAAGCTCACCGATGGGACTATCTAGGCTGCATATATAATTACAGTACTGTATACGAAATGATTATCTTGTATACGGTAGGCCTACTATATGTACTTGTTGTATTGCTGGACCGTGAGAGATGGCGACGACTTCAAAAGTCCCCCATCCAGCAGTGCATAGATCATGGCTCATGGTGACGATGGCAATACACAGTCTACTTCTTCTTCTTCCACGCGTTTGTCACACTCATGTGGGAGTGTCCGTTGTCCTTGCCAACCTTCTCCACGCTGCCCTGCCCTGTGCCATCTCTCTTTCCTCTCCTCGGGCCACCGTGTCCGATCGCACCACATCGCCTCCCCCCCCCACACCTCTTCTTCTGCCTTCATCTTGATCTCTTTCCTTCCACTTGCATCACTTGCACCTAATGAACCCACATAATTTTCCTGCTGTCTCTCCACATGACCGAACCACACCCACAGCCTTTTTTTCTCTCTCTCATCTTCTCCGTGATATCTACCACCTTGAGTCTTCCTCTCACTTGTTCATTTCTCACCCCCCTGTCCTTCCTTGTTAAACCCCAAACATCAAACAGCAACATCCTCACCTCTGTGACTGCCATAGCTCGGTCCTACCTCTTTCTTGTGCCCCAGCACTCGGCCCCATGCAACAGCGCTGGCTTCACCACCGTCATACACATGATACCATGAAATATAATATATGGGGTATTACATCATACGCCGTGCTATATTTCAATTCTAGTCCGTATATGTGGCACTGTTGTCCCATGCACATGAACTGTATTTCTTGTGGGGTGGGGTGGGGACTTCATTTCTCGTGGAATATTTTTTCGGGCGAGGAATTTTTTTTTTATTCCCCCGGAGATCAACCCTGGACGGCTCCGGCTGAAATTAAGCCACGATTATTGACCACATTCTCATTGTTACAACGTGACCCATAGCACTTCGTCGAACACACTTCACCATGTCGGCTGTTGGTGAGAGGAGATGCTGGCTCTCGCGCTATGTGCCAAACACAAGATGGGAATTACCGCTGGTCAACCAAGGCACGTATCAATCCATTTGCTGTACAAACATTAGGGAAAAGCTTGACATTTCTGTATTTCTTAATCACAGTTTGTGCTACACGCTATTGCTGAACTGCAATACAGTTAATACTCGAATATCCACGGGCAGATTTGTGCGATCATAACCGTGTTAATTTGCGCCTTGAACGCGCAGGCTTGTTCTGTCCTGAGCTGCCTCTCACTCGTCGACGGTCAATCACTAAGTACCCACGTGGCCACAAATGTCGGCAAGAATGCCAATTTACTTTAAGGAGCAACACAAACGATGGAACATTCAACGTCTTCACTCCCATCTTACGTCGGTAAACAAAATGTTTTTTACATCCTCATTTTCACGTTTTGGATTATCCGCGTGGTTTTTTTTGTTTAATCCGGATCATTCCTCCCTACTATTACCCCAGATAATCAACAGTTGACTTAACTGGGTGACACTTGGATGACAACTAAGAACTCACGACAGCTGAAACACCAAGATCTGCAGAAATCTGCTGGCAACGCCACACGCAGGACACTTATTGT